ATAGCACGGCGCAAGCGAGAATGCGCAATCCAAGTGCTTAGGATCAGACCTAGGGTTCGCTGCTTGGCTTAGTTTAGGACCCCTCAGGTTGTAGCGTATGTTGTGCGTTTTCCTACGCTACAGTACTGCCGGTGTCCTGATGACTATTTGGCCATGGTTGAGGACATCATGGCTCGATGCAGTGATGTTTGGACCAGGCAGCTTTGCTGCTCATATAGAGCCACAGATGTCCGAGGCTTGAAATTTCACAAAGTAGTCGTAAATGAATAAATTGGAAACTACTATAGTATATTGGGGTTATCTAGGGATAATGGAAAAGAAAATGGAAACGACTGTGCATTCCCGAAGGTTGGCTGCTGGTTTTCTTTGCTTGCTTGCGCTGATGTACGGTACCTTTGCTCTTAGCCTTGCTCATCTGCCTGCATGGATGCTTCACGGCGGCCGCACAAAAGCCGGTATGTCTTGAGCCAAGACGATTTGAGCACACCTTTGAAGAGGCCTGAGGTTTCTGCCCTGCAAGAAAAACAATAGGTCTGTGAACGCTGTTAGATATGTAAAAATATATGTTCAGATATAGCCTCTAGGTTCACCCCGCAGAAATGCTGATGGAACCCCAAATGGTTCCCTTTCAAAGGAGCTGGCACAACTCTTCATGAAAGAAGCCTTCTGCCCCTTCCCCCCCGACCCCCCCTCCCCCCCGGAATACCCGCTTTCCAGAACTGCACTATACGGATCATTTGCCATGGAGTGGGTTGGAGGGTTCAGGAGTAGTCACATCGCAGCCTCTAAGCTTCAGGCGCGATTCGCGTGAAACGAGTGTGACGCCTGGCAGCTGGGGTGCTCCGGATTTCCTAGCAGACCCCCAAGGTACCTCAAACGGGATTGGGATGTTGAAGTATGGGTATTTGGGCAGTCCTCGTGAAGTTGGGACCTGGATTGGAGGCACGGTAAATTCCAGCGGCTAGCGGCTAGCCGGTCAGCCAGCGTACGTATCATGCGGTTCCTAGCAAGCATGCCATAGATCGTAGAAACTTATCTGCGGCCCGGCTTGCGAAAGAACAGGCCCCAAACATGCGCAAGCTACCCTAAACCTCAAGCCCCAAAACCTTGAACCCTAAACCCTTAGCCCTAAAACCTTGAACCCAACCTAAATCCTAAACCCGAAGCCCTAGAACCTTGAACCATAAATCCTAAACCATAAGCCCCAAAACCTTAAACCCTAAATCCTAAACCTTAAGTCCTAAAACCTTGAACCCTAAATCCTAAACCTGAAGTCCTAAATCCTTGAACCCTGAATCCTAAACCCTCAGCCCTAAAACCTTGAACCCTAAATCCTGAACCCTAAACCCTCCACCCTGAACCCTAAACCCTGAACTCTCAAGCAATCTGAATCTAGCATTAGTTCTGGTTCTCATATCTCCTTTAGTCTCAACATCTCGAAGTCAAAACTTTCAAAATTCCAAAATCAAAATGATCCCCCCCAAACCCTAAGCAATGGTAGTAGACCCTAAACCCTAACTCAAAACCCTTAGTACTCCCAAAAATGACAAACCCTCTGCTTCGCCCCACTGAAGTCACAGGCCAGCCTGCAGCCGCCAGGAGCAGACCAAGGAGGCCAAGGAGCGAGGTTTGCGGGGAGTGCCTGGCATTCCTAGCGGTATATATATATATACACATATATGTATATATTCTTCATTTATGTATAGGTTTCAGGTTTCTGTCTTGGGGTTGATTTACAGTCCTTAGTTTTTTTTTTTGTTATTTTTGTTTGGGGTGTGTCGCTGTGATTTTATAATTTGAAAATTTTGAGATTTTGACAAAGAAATTTGAGAACCCTAAGTCATGGTAAGTTTACCTGGGTTTGAGGGTATACGGTTTTGGTGTTAGGGGATATATGTATATACACACACACTAATTTCTATGTGTATGTATGTATGTATGTATGTATGTATGTATGTATGTATGTATGTATATGTGTATATATATAGAGAGAGAGAATATGTATATATGCAGATATAGATATACATCTAGAAGTGTGCTAGGGATTTTATGGGATTCTATAGGCGATTTCATAGGGATCCAGGGTTTGGGGGTCAAGGGGTTTCTGGTGGGGGCTTAGGGTTGAGGGGGTAGGGGTTCGTGGAATCAAAGGAATGTTTGGGAACCCTGATATAATGACTTTTACCCCCTGGTTTCACATCGCAGGGGGCGTCTGGCACTACTTTACGATCCAAGGCCTAGGGCCTTGGCGGGTTAGGGCTTATGGGAATTTTTTGGGGTCGTGTATAGAGGGACGACCATGCAAGGCGCATGAGGGAGTTGCATTTGGGGGTTGCTAAAATGCGGTCCTTCCCAGTGTACCCTAGGAGTAGGGACAGCATTAGACCAAGGACCCCGAAGGGGGCCACGAGTTTGAGAACCTTATATAAAAACTCCCTACACGGCAACTCCCATCCTGCAGTTGCCTCAGATGACTCAGAGATTCCCAGCATAGCAGATTGGGAAAAAGGGAGCTACTGCCACCTTTCTGGCTAGTTGAGTATGCACGAAATCGTAATTATGGCCAGTAAAGTCATGATTCGCAACACAGGCAAGAATGGGCCAAGAAAGGACACAAGCAAAGAGATAATCAGATAGATAGGGATCTCTCATCTCAAGCCCCATATGACCAAACCCCAGGAAGTAATTGACATGGACCCAAAAAGCCTATGTTTAGGTATTCTTGTTCCTAAAGAATAAGTAAAGAGGTGATGATTGCCAAGAATCAGGGGTACACTATGCCATAACCTTACAAGGAACCTAGGACCAGAATATTGGTAGTTGTTTGAGCTATAGTCTAAATTCCTACTATAATAGCCCCTATATAAAAGCCCAATTTAAGGAGTTTAGGCTATAGTTCATTTAGGCCCCTACATTCTCGACGGGGGAAGACCCAGGTGACGGAGCCTCGGCCTGGAGTTAATGAGTCATTGGCCCTTTGAATCCATACATAACCTCAGGGCTCCCAGTTACCTAAATAGTAGGTTACTGGGCTATGTAACTATAGGGTATATAGAACCCAGTTCCCATTATTTAGGTAACTGGGAGCTCTAGGGTAACATGCAATTGCTTTACTAGCGACAGCATGCCAGACGCTCGTGGTTGTAAGTAACGCAATTCTAGACCATGGCTTTCATCTCAATTACTTGAACCCCAAAAGTATGTACTATAATGGCCTCTTGGGCTGTGTTTAGGGATGTTGGGTGATTATCTTACCTAGTTTCGGGGCCCAGGTACTTCATCATCAGTTCCCCATGAACCACTCTTGGATTCTGGACAGGGCTCTTGGGCAGAAATGAAAGCAAGCCCAGGGAGGGCCCTCTGTCTCATCTAGGTCTTAGGTATAGTCCCCCTTAAGTAGATAGAATTTGGCTTTGGGTATATTATAGGGTTTAGGGTTTAGGGATAGAATATGGATATTCTGATAAGATCCCAATATCCCCCATATTCTATCTACTTAAGGGGGACTATAATCCTGAAAGCAGACCAGATGACAAGTCGCACTTCGCGCGCACAGCGCAGATATGTCCAGCAACAGGTCTAAGAGCATCGCTATGCTCTGGTTTTGGGTCTGCCCAGCAGGTTCCACCTACAGCTTGGCCCTCACTTGCGCAGCTTTTCAGTGGGCAAGGGAGCGATCTTTTCTAGCGTGTGGAGATCCTAAACCCTAAACCCTAAACCCACCACCTCAAACAGGCTAGACATTGAAGGGGACATTAAGCTGGCAGACGTGATCCTCTGTCCTCATATCAAATACCGCCTCCCCCCAACATCAGGTATTCCCTATGCAAGTTCTTTTATGACATGTACACATCTATACGGAGACATGACGAATTGGAGCGTGAGGATGCTTAACATGAATGAATGCTACCTTTCCCTAGAGCTGCCAATTACCTAAATAATGGGAACTGGGTTCTATATACCCTATAGTTACATAGCCCAGTAACCTACTATTTAGGTAACTGGGAGCCCTAAGGTTTGCCAACTTTCTCCAGGGGGGTCGAGGTTGGGCTTTGGCCAAGTCAAGCGGAACCTTCGGGCGGATCTACGCTGTAGCCATGCTCTGCGCCGGCAAGTTGACGCAAATCTTCTAGCTCAAGTAAAGAAAATGGAAACTACTATATCATAATGGGGAATATATTGGGGCTGATATTGGGAGAATGGAAAAGAAATTGGAAACTACTACTATAATGGGTTATATAGATGCTGAGGGTAGCACATACACTGGGCAGGCTAAATGGATGGTATGTGGGGAGACGTGTCCAGGACCTGTCAAGCCATTTTTTTCTGTCTTGGCACTCGGTCACATGCATTCCTTTATCAGGGTAATTTAGAATAGTTTCAATTCTCAATTTCAGGCCATTTTGGTATTACTCCCTCACCGTTTCGGGTTAGGTCGCGCTTTAAATTGCCCATTATTCCTTGCGAACATCTCTACACGTAGGCGAAGGCGACCTCAAGCCATTTAGCTGTTTGGAAGGCCATTAATGAAAGACCAGAGGTTTGACACATAGCTCTTTCCTCTGAACATCTGACCCATGGTTTAGGGTTTAGGGTTACCCCACGGGTCCAAGTACCCAATAATTGGGTACTTGGGTATTTGGTAATAGTGGTTATAGACAGGGAAATCTGTGATTATTGGGTACTTAGCCCCTTAGGGTTATCGAGACTTGCCAGGCGACATTTTGCGGCCTCACTGAATCATCAGTCCGCACGGGGTTCAGCCGACGCTCAGGTGGCGGTCGGGATGTTAACGTCCAAGGCTCAAAGTTCTTGCTTGCTGCTTGCCCAGGCTTAATGAAACGATGTAGATGCTTCCAAGAATGCGCGAGGTCCCCTTCATATGCCCAAAGTCTATGTTCTTTACTACAAGCCCTCTAAAAGGGGTCCCTGTTTTTTTGTACACTCAAGAATCTAAAGAATTAGAAAACCAGGCTTTTCGGACTTCGAGCCTCCGAGTTCTAGACATAGATCAGATGTCGTCGTGAGTCGAGGGTCTTCCAACAACCCGGGCCGCAGGCAAAGCCCGTGCAGTTGTCGACCTATGATAGGTACTAAACTGGGCTGCTGTTGAGGAATTGAAATTAAGCTACATTAATTAGTACTTATCGTAACTGATTGTTTCCCCAATATGGTAACTGAAGTTAAGTTCCTTAACAGCAACCCAGTAAACTTCCTGCATGAACCTGAGGACCCTATAGACCATGGGAGGTATGATACTGTAGTATACTAAGGCCATGCAGGATTGTTCGTACCAACAGTGTGTCACTTCGGGGGCGTCACTCGATTCCCTCCAGGTGCTTACGGCTCCTGGAAACCTAAACACTAAGGGATTCCTAGGACCCCAAGATCTTCGCTGGAGCTACCAGGCCCTGCACTGAAGATGCCTTAGAGACCTATGGGAAGCAGAAAATACTGTTATTGGTATCCCTGACCCTAAACTTTTAACCCTAAACCCTAAGATACGGCGTAAGGATTCATTCAGAGAGGCTCCCTCACCTCATGGTATAGCCCGGTTCTGCTGGAGGCAAGAACTTGTACTGTTAATGGAGGAAACCTTGAGCAATCTAGGGCTCTACATCAGCTGTACTGTAATTCTTAAATTCTAGGACTGAAAGCACAGACATTGCTGCAAGATTTCTTCATCAAGAGCAGTTGCTGTGGGGGACCTCAAGGTTTCTTCTTAGAAATCGTGCTGTGCTTGCACACTTCAAGATTTTGCAAGCCTGAACATAGCGTGCCAGGGGTTTAGGGTTTAGGAACAGCTGTAGCGCAACCAGTTGGACAAGTTGCCTTCAGAACTTTGTTTTCGAACGGTATGGGGTCTATAGGGTGGATTCTTGCAATGTTGTTCGTGTTCCTGTCGAACCCCAACCCAGAGAGCAGGAATCCCAAGCTACCACAAAACAAGAGGGACAAAAGAAGCGGCTAATGATGCTGTGCTCAGCTTGGCAAGCACCATTAGCTGGCATCATCCCTTAACTTGTACTATACTCTAAACCATAAGGCCAAAACTTCACGCTGCCAGTGCAAGTGCTGCTATGACCCTGACAAGAAAGTAGCGCGTTACAAGTAGGGTGCTGTAGGCTGCGTATAGTTTTTGGGAAAGTCGATACCAATTACTATGTCTCCACGAAAACGAGGCCAGTCCATCACATGCTTTAAGCGGATTTAGGATTGAGGTTTGGGGTTTATGATTTGGGTTTCTCAGTGGTTTCAGACAGTGCCTTTCTGTATCCTGAAGCGCTGAGGAAGCAAGTGCTGTTAAAGTGTACTTGATAAGATTCTTCGGGTCCTGCAATGCCAAGCGTAGCTACTTGGTGTATTGGCCCGTCATCAAGCAGGCAGCATCCCAACCACACCTCTGATGGGAGATCTCATCTACTCAACTGCAAATCGTAGTTTTCCTAAATGAGGGGTACCCAAAATAGACCCACAAAATACTATCGACCTTATGATAAGGGCCCCCAAAAGGGTAGCAGTACCCCTAATTTTGGGAAACCCCATATCTTACAAGAGCTGTAGCCCGAGGTCAACCTGCTCGTGATCGGTAGGTACCCCAACAATACGGTAATTTGCATCTTCTTGCTTGCTTGTTCATTCCCTACTTGCAAGCAGCATGTTAATCCTGAACCCTAATCAACACATATCCCCAGAAAAAAAAAAAAAAACACGTTCCTTTTATCATGTTCCATTGGTTTTCCAGTTCATTCTGTAGTATGGGACCCTCAATCCCAAGCCCAGCGGCCCATTCAAGGGTTCGCGGACTGCCGGTGGCCGGCGAGAGGCCAAGGAACTGGAGAGTGGCAGAGTCCAGTGTGGTGGCATTCTGGCCACCTGGGATGGATGGTTTCTAGTCCATTTTTTTGGCCGTAGGACAACCAAACTTAGGAACGTCGGACAACCAAACTTAGGAACGTCTGAATGTTTTGGTAGGATATAAAATCCCTATCTAAGATACAGCTCAGGTGGATGCACTGGCAGCTTACGGTATAGCGTCTAGAGCTTAACCGTACTTACAGCTGTGTTATGCGTGCCCGTACACCATGCCCTGAAGGTGGCCAGACTATGGTATAGAATGGTTTTCAGTGTCCGCTTGAGAAATGGAAGAGGAAACGGAAACTACTGCACATTCTGCGGGTTTCCGTACTGCCGTACCTGGCTTTTTTGGCATGACCAGACTTTGGTGTATTACCAGCTTATTGATTCTTAGTAGTTCGTAGGGAATACAGGAATGCAGTGGGTAAGAGGGTGCCACCATCTTGACACATGGCAGCAGCCACGCACCACAAGAATGACACATGTTGGCCTGTAATGGGCACCACAAGGGACTCTTGTAGGTATAGTAAGGCCCTATTAACTCCATATTACGGAGCTATTACTATTCTGGGGATTGACCTAAGTCAGATATGATCCTCAGCCAAACCTAAACCCTAAAGCGCTTTACCAACATCACTTTTATGTCTATTGGAGGTTTACGGGTTAGGATTGAACTCAGGGGTTTGGGTTTTAGGGTCTGGGATTTAGGGTTGCCATGCCGCAATTACATAAGGTCAGAGGTTCCAGGGTTGTACCCCTGAGGTCGTACCCCTGAGGTCGTACCCCTAAATGGTTTCCCCAATGTGGCCTTAATATGGCCCTTATATAGTCCCCTAGGGTCCCTTGAAAGGATCCCCAAACCCAAGGGTTCAACCCTACGGGTACAAGCCTGAAACCCTTGATAAGGAACCTTGGCTCACATGCGTTGTTCTCAAATCAAAATTATGGGCCCTTGTGGGATATAGATCATAGTGCAGCACCTAACGTGTAGGGGTGCCAAAGTGGGACTTTTGGGAGCTACCCACATAACTGGTAATTATCAAGGCCCTGTATTAAGGAGAGGCAGGTAAAAAGCATCTCTAAATCCTAAACCCCAAACCCTAAACCCCAAACCCCGAACCCTAAACCCTAAACCCCAAACCCTAAACCCCAAACCTTAAAACCCTAAACCCTAAACCCTATCCTTAAGGAAAGGCCGGTAGCAAGCATGCTCGTCAAAGCCGGCTCGGCTCAGGCTGGTAGCATGCTCGTAGCAAGCCCAGGAGAACCTAAGTGCCAAGAGATTTCTTGGAATGGCCTTTGGGGCTATCTTTAGGGGTTTGGGGTTATTGTTTTACCTCGTTTTTGGGCTTCAGGTGGGTACTTGGACCCTCAGGGCCCTAAACCCTAAACCCTAAATCCCAAACCCCATACATACATATATCCCTATATATCCCTTCAAAAGGGACCTAAGTAGGGTAACCCTAGACTATGATTCAAGGCACACGGCATTCTGCCAGCCAGATGAGGGCCAAGCGCTCCTGGGACGAAGCTGGATGTAGGGTTGACACGGTTTAGTGTTTAGGGTTTGGGGGGAGGGGGGGGGGTTGACCAAAATTAATGGGTTTACCTAGACCCCCCAAGTACCCTAAAATAGGGTCTATGTAGCTTCTATTTGGGGATGCTTAGGGTCTATAGAGGGTACTTGGGGGGTCTAGTTAGGGTTTAAAAATTTGGGTTTAGAGTTTAAGTTTTAAGGGTTTAGGGTTTGTTTGAGGGCTTTCCCAAAATTAAGAGAAAGCTATAAAGGGGTTCATGCGGGATACGTAGGGATATGTAGGGTTTTTGGTTTGGGTTGCAGGGTTTCCCCAAATTTGTGGTACCTTCTGCGGGGTCCCACAGTACGGATTATGGCATTGTTGGGTCTATGTTAGGGTTTACCTATGTTGGAAACTACCACATATGATGAGAAAAAAAGAGGAAGCGCAACCAAATGGAAACTGTGGTTAGATAGGGGCATATGGGTAGTTCCCAAAATCAGGGTACCGTTTGCCGTAATATAACCCTTAACCAAAACGGGCCCATACTTGTTGGAACTACCCATATACGGACTGTAGGGTGTGCAATAAGGCCTAAAATACCCAATATAGACACTAATATACTAAAATCCTTACTATAGACACCTAACTAAACCCTAAACCCTAAACCCTAAACAAGCTACCCCTAATTCTGGGAGACTTCCAAATAAGGCCTCACAATCATCAACTCTCAGGCCGTAGAGCCAACACTAAATTGTGACAGCTCATGCTCCAAAGCTGCCTAGCAGGAACCCAGGAACCCCTACCTAGGGTTTAGGGTTTAGGGTTCCTAGACTACCCTGGAACCCCTACCTGGACTAATGTATACCCATCATTAATACACCCCGTCCCCTTAATAAGGATCATAATAGAGATCCTAGTATGTAGGCCCTTAAATGGAAGGGGTTTACTAATCAGGGGTCTACGTGAACCTGTATACAGTACCTAGAAACAAGGGGTTGTGTGTTAATAGTTGTATTTTGTTTTTGCCTTTGTTCTTCTGGATCTAAGGTTGCTGGCTGCTGCATCCAAGCACGTAGCAAGAATGCCCTAAACCCCAAATCCTAGGTCTTAGGCCAAAAACAAGGGATACGACATGCCAAGTCGGCTGGTATCAACAAGTTCGACGTCTTGATACATCACAAAGCTGCTACACAGCTGCTAATTGCTGAACCCAAAATAATCACTAACATTGCCAAATTCTGGGCCCCGGCATAACTGGCCCGACCACAATAATTTCAAAGCCTGAAATGAGGCAATGATGGTACAATATTTGATAAACCACCATTGCGGGGTGAGGTCGGGCTAGCTTGGCTAGAATATAGTTGGATTGTGCAAGAAAACGTCCTCAGCGACCACGTCAGCTTTCGTGTACGCGCAGCAAAGCCCTCGGCGTAGCGCTGTTCGCCGACGTCGAAGGGTGGATTGTGTCCCAGGTTCTTCCTGAGGTGTAACCCTGCTAAGTGCTGAAATTCAAACAAACATGCTACGTGTTGGGAGCAACCAACTGTCCATGCTTCGACTTGTAAGCATGTGCTGAGAAACTAGGTGGAGCCTTGGCTAAAACTACGCAATAAGCCTAGTACTGGGCCCTAAGGGGTGGTGTTTCCAGATGATCGTGCAAATTCTGGGCAGTGAGATGAGAGCCACTGAACTTGAAGGCTAGGAATTCAGGACTCTAGGCTCAAACTCATGTCAAACTCAAACTTGCTGCGCAACTAGGCTAAGCACAACGGTCTCAAAACCTCTGAGCCCGGCACTCTTGCAAGGATGGGGACTCGCCTAGCAAAACAACAAGATTTCAAGGCCTCAATATTTGCAGCTTGAACTAATCTCCCAGCTCTACACTCCAGAGCTCTATACAAGAAAACAATCTCTAAAAGAAAGCTGTGCCGTCAGCACGGCATACCGTCTATGCAAACTGCCTTAGCTCAAGCAACTGACAATAAACCCCAGGCCTCAAACCCTCAGCTTCCCCCACCCTGCGTCTCCACACCATAAACCCTGGGCCTTGAAGACCGAAGACCCCCAAAAAAGGAAACCATCAGAAGCTACCTCTCTTACCCCGGGCTCCTATGTAGTTTCTCCTTGGGTTTGTTATCGTTTTGGATAAGGGATGATCATATACTGCCAAAAAAGGAACTACGTTGGAGGTTCTGGGAAATTCAATCAAAGAGTTTAAGTTTGTACCCTTCATATTTACAACCTTAGGCTTTGGGTCCCAAATACCCTTACTAATTGCCGCCAAAGCCTCTCCAGCTGAAAGCTATCGTACTGTGAGGCTACCATGAGGTACGGCGTCCTGGGTTTAGGGTTTAGGGTTTAAGGGTTTAGGTGTAGGGTTTAGGGTTTAGGGTTTAGGGTTTAGGGGTTTAGGGTTCAGGGTTTAAGCTCGCGGGACCCGGGGTTATTTGAGGGTCTCCCAAACTTAGGGGTACCTTTGAAGGGGGTTACAGGGGGATATATAGGTTCATATTGGGCATAGGGTCTAGGGTTAAGAGTTTCCAAAATTAAGGGTACTTTGTTGGGGATGCCGACCATAATGAGGATTGCCGTATATTCAGGTCTATACTGAGGTCCACATGGTTTGGGAAACTACCATTTTTTCAGTTTCGAACACAAAGGGTTGTAATAGGGGCTTTCTGAGGAGTATCCTGGGCTATACTACGTTACATACTTCTGAGCCCCTTCACCGTAAGAACACCGTTCTCTAAGGATCGGCGCGAAGAATTCGTCGCTTAATTTAGCTCAGGGGTTGGAATCAGTTCTAACTTTGGGAATGGCGAAGGCAGGTGTCTAGTGTTTAGGGTTAATGTTGACCATTGGGGTTATATTAGGGCAATATTGGGGTTACATGTTAATAATGGAAAATGAAATGGAAACTACTGCCATGGGTTCCTTTTGGGGTTTAGAGTCTAGGGCTGATGCTGAGAGTGCGAGATGGGTTGCAAGTTGCCTCTTTGTTGTAAGGACTGCATGTTGTTTAGGTCATCACAATGGATACTAGCAAGTGTATGTTGGGGTTGCGGCATTGGCATATGCCTCTCTGCCACCGATGTTTGGTAGGGGCACAACCTAAGTTGGTATACACATATGGTTGCGTGCTTGAACTGCTGATCACCTCTGCCTGACTTGAACCGAGAATTGGCAAGCCCACTCGTGCCAGGAAACTTTGCAAAAATCGAGTAATAGGTGACCCATACCCGGAATTGAGGACTTATTGCAAAAAATGGCCGAAGTCGTGTTCAGAATCCTGAACCATACTTAGATCTAGAGCCTCCGCAGCCAATCCATCAGAACTGCCCTGTCCTCACGAACGGCATGCGATACCTTGGATTGCACTGCAGTGTGGGAGGTACAGGATGTCTGCGAGCTTCACAGTTCAGGCTGGGGTTTCAATCCCAGAAAACCAATTCTACCGCGATTACGGCCCATGTTTGCCTGCACCAAACACTAGAACCTCAAAGAGTAGTCACTGAACCTTCAAATCCAAATCCCGCCAAAGCGTTACTAATTCTCATAAACCCTAAACCCACTAAACAATCTAAAGCCTCCTAAGCCCTACACCCCCAACCCTGAAAGATAGCCCAACCCTCGCACCCCGGAAGTCCTTCAGCGCCTGCAGTCACCCGAAGCATGCACTTATGTCTTACCCTGGGGCCTCAAGTCTATATGGGTGGTTCCGAAATGAGGGATTCCTTGTGGGGAGTCCTTGTGAAAAGAACAACAACATATTGGGATGTATGAATGGGTCGCCGATTTATGGAAACTCCAAGGCACATCCTCAGCTCTCTGAAGCTCTTGAACCAGTTGTATGACTATAGACCATATAACATCTTTGGATTCAAAGCACTCGTTTGGATCGGGGTCTGACCTAAACGTATTGATGCCTCGCTTGTTCCGTTGTTCAAGCCTGAACAAGTATCCCCTTGAAATACAACAACCCACTTCAAGAGCCATGCAAATGTACACCTCTTGCTTAGACACCCCATACTCCACACCACCCCTAAATACTCTTCAAAGCCATGCACATGAAGAATGGCAACTCCTCGTAACAGAAATACTTCCACAGCCGTACAAAACTCCATTGCATCCTGGTCATGGGCCTAAACCGGCCCAAAACCTTGACAAGGTCTAGGGTTTTGGGGTGGGAGCCCCTGGGCCCCAAGCACTACACCCCATAAGCTGTGTATAGGAAGAGGCAGAGCTCATGGGAAGAAATGCTCAACCTTGTCTCCTTGGGCAAGATGGCTGCCGAGTCACTGGCCCATGATGCCTGATCGTTATCTGGGGATTCTATAATTACGGTCATACGGGGATCATCGGGGGGCGTTCGTTCGGTGGAAACAACCCGCTGTAGTTCCACCTTCTGAGTTTGTTCTATTGTTTCGGTGAGGGGTTCAATTCAGCTTGTACTGCCCAACGCAAAACACACACCCAACAGTCCGAAACCCTGAACCATGACCTGAAGAACACAAATGGGTCTGAGAAGACCTCACAGATCCGGTTTTCGCTCATAAGATACAAGGCTTTGTAATAACGGCTTGAGGGTGAGTGAGGAGGAACGGCTACTCCGTAGGGATTCAGGCTAAGGGCGTTAGTGTTCATGGCTGCTTGTTACGATCAGTGTCCCGGAGTCCACGCCGAGGCTGGATTTGGTAAGTTCAGGGCCTAGAGCCTATGTTGTGGAAGCTTCTTCGCATTCAGGCTTCTCCCCTAGGGTCCTGTTGCCTGTACAGCACATACCTTTGGCGCATATGGGTTTCTATTCACATCACAAACTTTGAGGCCTAAGTATATGCCATTGGCGTACCTGGACCTCCCCAAGGGTCCTACTATACTTTGGACCCATAACATGGATTTATCTCCTTGACTCATAGGGCGTGAAGTTAAGAGCTTGGCGGTAGCTGTCCATTCTCAGAGTATCGAAGCCTCTAGAGTCTATAGAGACCCAAAGGCTGTATCCCGTCAGGGCGACTGTTTACGGCTTATACAAAACAGCTAGGAAGATTGCCCCAATAATGTAGAATCATAAGGGAAAATGAAGCATGACGTGGGAAATGAACCATGGAATTATTTAGGAGTTAGGGGTGGATACGAAACACTTGCACGACCCTAAATACCAAAAAAAATAGGGGAGTATGGTAATGGCTCTACAGCATACCAAGGCCATGCAGGATCTTTACTATCAGCAGTACTTAATGATTTCATTTGGACTGCTTTGGCAGGCCTCATGCGGGGAACCTTGTATTTGAAAATCCGGAATGCAGCAGTCTGTCAACACACCCCTAAGATAGGCAGGATAATGCCAAGCTATGCAGCGCAAACACCACGAAAACATCTTCAAGCAGGAGCGTCAAGCTACGAAGCTGGTACTAAAAGCGTTGATCACGCGCACACTCAAGCATTTTGACTGGAAAAAAGCATCTTGCTCCACGACCCCCCTCAAACCCTACACCGAACTGCACATGTCGAAGCCATGGCTCACCCCAGGGAGCCAAATAGCCCAGCGTGCACAACATCAAAAGGCATTAGGGCTAGCTTCCATTTATCGACTGGGAGCTCCGGCCCTAAACCCTCAAGCCTACATCCGGCTTTAGGGTTTTGGGGTTAGGACTATTCTAAAAATTCAGCTCAGATACATTTCCAGGGCGTCGCAGCGTACTGGGCAGTGCAATCTCGTCCCAAACGAGAGACATTTGCCATGTCGTAGACTTGCCTGGATATATTTGGAGGGTCACGGCAGCGTAGTACTTGGCTAATCATGAGGCTAACTGTGGCTAGTACGTGGCTTATACGGGTTATGTCACAACCCATACTGAGTATACTCACGAACTCCCCTTCACCCTCTAAGTATGGTTGTTGGATGCTTAATTAATCACGATTACTGTCCAGCTGTGTGCATGAGGATCCTTATTATTGCTCCCAAGACACAGAAAGCATAACTCTGAGAAACCACTACTAAATTGTGGAACATTGGGAACTTCCACTAAGCCACATCCATGTCTTGCCCGCAGACCTATGACATTCTACATGCTTGCCAGCTGCTTGCCGTTTAGGCGCTGCGGGTGCTTCTCAAAACTGCTGGAAATCATAGCCATTCAGGGTTGGTTGCAGAAACGGATTATCGGCCTTTTTTCTTGGTGACCTATGAAGATCCATTCACCTTGTTAGAAGCTTACAAGCTTTTAAAACGGCAGAGCTGCACTCACAACTTCTTCTATATGCAGAATATAGGGACAAGGAATATGCAAGGACAGCTGCCTATGAGATTTGTGTACAGAGTACGGACTGATGAACCTCGCGTATTGGACGTTGCTCATACTCCTTTTCCGCAATTAAGGGAAACCAAGCAAAGCAGGACCCCGTGAGAGCAGTTAAGTTAGGCGACTCGCGTATGTGCATAATTGGTGCCTGGTCTCCAGGCGAATGTACAAATGGCAACCGTCAATTGAAGGTCCATATGTCATTTCTGACACTAACGTATATTAGATGCGGCACGCTTGAGGCAAATGGTTAAATCAGGCTTTCTGCCGTGAGTAGCGTTGGACATGCGGCCCTGACAGGACCGCTCTACACCATAAGAACTCTTGAGTCTGTACTGCTGAAGCACAAGCCCTGAAAACTCTCGCACTTTCAGAGCTCACGAGCTTTCATGCATCACAGCAGAAACGGTTCGATCAATTCATGAGTCCTTTGCCACCTAAGCACCCTGCAGCCTCTTGATGCTTCAGCAAAGCCGCTTGCAAGAGTTGTTGAATCCAATGAAGCCACTCCCAGGATAGGGCGGCAAGTCAAGCCAGAAGGGAGAGTCCAAAAAGCCAATAACCTGCCCCAAAGTCAGATTCTGCCAATTTAGGGATCTAGCATCGGCAAATGGAGTTACATGATTTGTGGGTTTCATCTAGGGCTTCAAAGCCCGCCGGGACCATGCAAATAGTCGGCAACGCAATTCTTGTGAGGACTAAATGGATGTTTCCTCAGATTACTTCAACTCCATGTTCGACCCGTTGAGATATATATGGCCTCAATTTAACTATAATCCTGAACCCAAACCCTAAACCCGAATGATGAGCCGTTTTTCTTCACGGAGGCTGGAATGGATGTTCTAGCCTTTTCGGCCCAAAGCTGCTACAGCTGGTTCAGGGTTTATGGCTTAGGGGTGTCCAACAAACAGACATCGACAATTCGACACATGCGTATTTCCGTATTTCTGAAAATTCACACCTTGGAGCTACATCTTCTTGCATATTGGAGCAATTCTGGTTGAGTTCAAGGGCATCTTTCCCAATATGAAGAGCTTAGTGCACACAACAAAAAACACGGAATCGAACCTGAATATTTGCGGCGGCAGGGCCAACGATTTCCGGCACGTAGTCCAAGTTCACCTCAAGGAGGCTTCGGATTCCATGGACTCAAGAAGCACCTCGCCCTACCAATCAAAAGCCAGCGCACCAACATTGCACCGTCACAATATAGCACCGCTATAGCATCGGTGAGTAATATTAAAAGGAGAGGCTACTCCGTTTCTCGTCGAGTCGGGCAACTGACTGTAGAATTCCACTAGAACGGAAGAGATGCTGACCAATGTGGTTTGGTTTCAGTACTCCTTAGCAGCTCTGTGGACTGACGAAAACATACAGCGACCGCAATCTCCTAACACTTGGGAATTGCCGCAGCTTAGCTATCCCGCGTGGTGCAAGATTTCAACCGTACATCAAAACTCCTTTTTTCAACTTTATTACAGCAGAAGAGCTACCAGCGTCCTCCAAACTTACATGGATCTCAAGAAGGCACCATGTAAAAGTTTTTCAGTTTAGGTTTCGTGTTCCATGTTAGTCTCGGGCAAGGCAGACGTCTGACCATCGCCTTGCATGCAACGTGGCCTTGAACCACAAGAATCAAGATGTGAGGCATACTTCAGCTGTGCTTCTGATCGTGACATGACAAAGCATCATGGTTAGTCATGACACAGGTCCCTATGGTGTTTCCTAAACCCTAAACCGCGTTGCTTATACTGATAATAACCAGAATATATACCCTGCTATAATCATTTCCATTTTCTTTTCCACTATCCCAATATAACCCTAATATGTACCCTACTCGAGTTGTTTCCACCATTCTATAATCCTAGGACCTGAAGGGGGGGAAAACGGTTCTGGTCGGAGAGTTGGGTTCAAGAGCCTGGATGAGTTCAGTGTGCTTGGATGCGGTCCTTTCCTGCTGTTGATGCCGAAATTTCTGCATGGCCTTGGTATACTAGAATCACAAACCTAAGCCGCATACCCCAAACCCAAAACACTAAACCCTTTTTTGGGGGACCATTGTTTCCGAACTTCATGGTACCTGGGGTCATGCAAGATTGTCAGAATCAACTGTAGGAGCTCCCTGCCTGAGATGGCTTTTGGCACGGTGATCCCTCTCAAGCAGTGCCCGCCATAAACCCCACGTGCAAACAATTCGAAGGTTTTAAAATGACTGGAAAACAGCATGGAAGAGATACTCTGCTGTTCAGGGATATGCTGTTGAACCAAGTAAGATTGCAGCCTGCTGATAGAAACTCTGACGACACTGAGGACTTAAGCAAACTCGGCATGGGGCACCATAGTAACCCTAATGAAAAATGCGACTCATGTAAGAATCGCCTCTTGCAAGCACGGAATGGGAGAATGGTTCCCAAAGCACTTTCGAAAAATATCCCAGTAATCACCGCAATAACCCAGTTCGTCATTCAACCCCTTAACATCACAACTTAACCCCTATAGCCCACGGCTTCAGTCAACTCTTAATTCTACCATGGAATCCCCAAACCCCATCCCTAAGATGCAGGAGAAAGCGCCATGGCCCCGCGAGCACCAGCAGACTGGCCGCCCAGAACCTCAAGATATGAACCACTGTCTAAACTGCTAGCATCCTCCTTCATAAACTCTACAGTAGTCCCCTGTATATCGTCTATAAAACCCATAATATTAGTATAATCCTAAATTAAAAATAGTAAAGCCCGTCCTGAAAGCCCAAGGCCACGTGGCCAGCAAATGTCTTCGATCTCCCGACGCAAAGCCATATCGGAGCATGAGATCGTGGAACACCGCCTGGCTACCGAGGTAGGGTTGCGGGGTTTAGGGTTTAGGGTTGCCGGTTAGGGTTTAGAGATTGCCCTTCCCTAAACCAACATGAACCCCGCATATAGCCCCATTGTAAGGTGGAAGAAATCTAAAGATCCAAACAGCCCAATGTAGACAATAGTTATAGTCTTTAAGGCCCAATGTAAGTCTTGTTTGTATACTTGGATCCCTAGGGTTAGTGTTTTTATTTACGGGCACCGGTGGACTTCAACTTTCGTTTGGAGTGTGGAGGCTTGAGGTTGCCGATGGAATTCTGAGGAAAGCCTGGCACGGACACCTCTGGGGATGACCCTAGACCCTAGATCCCTAGAGGTTTAGGGTTTAGGGTTTAGGGTTTAGGGTTTCTACAGCCTAAACCCTAAACCCCTACAGCCTAAACCTTGAACCCTAAAGCCTAAACCCTAAACCCCAGAAACCTAAACCCTAAACAACCTAAACCCATGAAGGCCCAATGAGGCCTTCAAGAGGCTTAAGCTCTTGGAATTCCATCTATGGAAGGACCTTGCCTCTACCCTACATCCTAGAGTCAGAGTATGGTTTAGAATTTAAGGGTTTGGGCCCATTAAACCATATACCATACATCATATACGTATACGTATACATCTGTAGAGAAGGTTGCATAAGTAGGATTGAGGGATGGCCAACATCCACAGCAAGCTTTATGGTCAGGACATGGATCCTGCACCACGCGCGCACCCCGGAATTCCAGGCCCCACGAGCTGCCGTCACCCATGTGACCATCGGAGGTGCAGTAGCTGATGAAGATCTTGTTCCTTGTCGCCAAGTAAGGCGTTTAAACAATTGGGGAGGGCGGTCGTGTTTTGTCAGAAAAATACCTTGCATAGTGGGGCTTACAGTGGGCATTCTGTGCTTACGCAAGCCTCCCCCCAAGTGAGCTACTGTCTAAACTCCTCAGTATCCCCCTTAATAACCCCTACAGTAGTCCCATATATAATCCCCTATATAACCCCCCTTTAAGGAGTTTAGACTATGGCTCAAGTGTCATTAAAGGTTGACTGTTATAGAGACCAGACCTTGGAAATCCAGACCTCCATAACTCTAACCTCATCCCCAACAGCTGACAAATCAACATGTGTTTAGGGTTCCGGGTTTAGGGTTCAGGGTTTAGGGCTCAGGGTTTAGGGTTCAGGGTGTTGGGTTCAGAGTTTAAGGTGCAGAGTTTAGGGTTCAGGGTTTAGGTTCTGGGTTTTGGGTTCAGGGTTCAAAGTTTCGCCTCCCAGCCGGGGCAAATCCAACAGCCTTCAATGCAAACCTCTCCAAGTAAATTGTGGAACCCTAAACCCTAAACCTTAAACCCTAAACCCTAAACCCTAAGTTCAAAACCGAATCACCTACAAGCTCCAAGGCGCATAAAACAGCAATAATCCCTCTACAACCCCCCCCACCAAGGTCCCAGCCTCTATACCATGTTCCATGGTTTTTTCCATCTGATTTTCCAGGGTTTAGGGTTTAGGGTTCCCTTAACCCTAAACCCTAAACCCTAAACCCTATCCCCATCATGGCATGAGCCCTAAAAGCAAGACCCTGGACCCTAAGTTAGTCGTGTCCACTTCATGTTCCGTGACCTTTAACCTTTCCGTTTGATCTTGGCATTAAACAACACCCTCACCCCTATGTTGCCGTGTATGTATATATATATACACATACATACATGCGTGTATATACATATATAAATCCGCGTAGTCCAACCCTACATCCTAAACCCTAAGTTAATGGTTCACGCCAAAGCCTCGCATCATGCAGGACTGGATCCAGTAAGTCATCTAGGAGGCCCTGTTTGTCAATAGACGCAGGCATGGGCGCAGAACTGCACAAATGCCTCAAGTGCTGCAGCTGCAGGGGCGCAAGTTCAGGCTCATTGATCGCGAACCATACCCCACAACCCTAAACCCAAATGCTGGACAAGATTCTAAACTCCGCTATGGAGAGAAGAGCTAGTGGTCTGCCAAAGGCATCGAATTCAAGTCTTCTGGCAGTTCGTCCAGAAAGAAGGGGGCTTATATGAGAACTTCCATACCAGGGGAGCCCAATATAGATCCCTACACACAGTAATCCCTCTAGGTACTCTCCGAAAAAGAAGAGCCTACGTGGGGGCTTCCCAAACTTTAGGGGCACAATTTTGGGGTACTTATAACAAGAAAGGAATATTAATTGTTCAGGTTGGGGTCCCCTGATTTAGGGAAACCACCATGTAAGTTTAGGATTTAAACCGAAATCCTGTTTAAAGCAGGACAGATGATTTTCTAGTGCCCAATTTTGGTTCTCCAGGCTATGTTGGAGCAGTGCAACCCCACCCGTGGGCTCGGTCCTTCGGGTCGACTGTTGTGGCACTACTTTAGGGTTTAGGGGTTAGGGTTTAGGGTTTAGGGGCCTGGGTTTCACATTCAGCCTTGGGTGCGTCCTGACTATCAAGAACTCGTGTCTAAGACAGCCATCTAGATATTCTTTGCCTATCGCCCTGGTCTCTGTCGTTGCTGCTTGATATATCATGTGCTCTCAGGCATGCTCCCTAGATAGTTCCCATAGTCCCTATGCAACGTTGAAAAGTGATTGGACAATTCCCAAGTAACGCTCTGCTGACTTGGCCGGAGAGATCAGAGTTCCCCAAGCCACTTCTTCCCCCCTAACGCACGGACCTTTCAAGGAGACCCATAGCTCCAAATCCCTAAATCTTATGCACTCCCTCATCGTACCTACACACCCCCTACATCTGTCCCTATACGGTAGTTTCCTTAAAAAGGAAACCCCAACATAGACCCCGAGATACTGTGATCCTTATTATGGGGACTCCTAACAAGGTACCCTAATTTTGGGAGACCCTTAACCCTTAACCACACATAAAACCCTGTATATTGCCTATAAACCCCTTGAAAGTACCCCTAACTTTAGGCCCTTTAGGCAACCCCATATCCAAATCTATCGCGGCAAGCTGCGGGGTTTTCAGGCAGTGGTTCCGACAGTCATCCTGCATTGCAAGTCGTTTGGGGTTTAGGGTTCATATGTAATGTGGGGTCCTGATTAGTGTAGGGGGACACCCCCCACAACCAAAATGGGTCCCCACGTAATGTAGGCGGCGGCCGCCCCAAACGAATCTGGATCCAGGTTTTAATTAGAACTCAATAGGATGGATTGGATCCTAGGTTTTCATTAAAATTCAACAGGAGGGCTCAGGGTCAGCTTGGTAATAGATCAGAAAGGTTTCCGAAGGCACCCAGTTTCTGAGAGCAGCTTGGATTAGGACCCTAAACTAGTTACTAACTGCAATCCATGCTCAGGACTCAAAACAAAGGGCTTAGGGATTAGGACCCTAAACATATTACTTACTGCCTGCCATGGAAAGCAATTTAGGTTTGTTTTATTCTACTTATGATTCTCAGCATTTTTTTCGGCCGCGCAACTTCGCAAAATTAAGGGACCCCAAGCGAATCTAGGGGGGTGCTGAATAATTTCGGCGAAACTTCGCACAATTAGGGGACCCCACGCTAATCGGGATCCAACATTACCCTTGAGGGTCCCTAGAATCCTCCTGAAAGGATAAGCGCCTATATTAGGGGCCTATACTTCTAACCTTCCAATAGGCATGCACGCACACAAAGACTATGATGGAAGTAGCTTATCTCCTATGGAAATGATATTGAGGTCAGGTCAAAATTAATTACGTTTGGACTCCATTATTTGTTAAGTTAGGGCGCCGCCTATCCTTCTTGGACGTCCCCTGCCGGGCCACTGGGGGTTCGACGTGAGCTGTCTTGCTGCTTAACGGAAGGGCTCTGCCTATAAGAATTGCAGAACTATCCTGGCAGCTTCAGGCCTAGGGTCGGGGACTAGGAATTTTACTGGGGAAGGTCAGGTGGCCTCAGATATACCAGGGGACAAAGCCGCACACTCAGGCTACCACATTACATCCAAACTGTCAACTGAGGTGAACAAGCTAGCGCTGACCGTGTCATAGATCCGTGAGAGGAAATGTTGCACCCACCTATGCCTGGACAGAAGGCCACACAACAATCCAACCCTTCAGCCTATTAAAGACTCAACCCTGAAAACACAAAGCGTCCACAGCAAGTAAGTCCACCGCTGTGAACACGGCCAGTATCTAAACAACAACAGTGCCAACAGAACCCCAAGGACACTTAGACCTTCGAAGCTATGAACGCTGAACCCTGCTGTGGATAGACAACAACCCTTTATGTGAAGTAGTTATCCTACTAGGATTCCATGTGGGTAGTTTAGGGGTTAAGGGTTTTAGGGTTTAGGGAGTTATATAGCGTCATGCAAGATGTTTTCCATCCTCTGCAGAAGCCCCCAAAGCCTGCTCCCTAACCCAAGTCCCCAACAGTAGCCCTGATCAAGCAAGAGCTCCACACGGGTGCCTGGCTGTCACACCAGCCACCACCCTCCAAATCCACGATCCAAGTGGAACTGTTGCTGGAGGAGGATGGCTTCCTTTGTTAAGAAGTAAGAAGCAAGGTGACCTTAAGGGTCCGAGCAACAAAACGGAATATACGTTGGGCCCAGATGCATTCCCCTAGGGCTCCATGTCTATAAATAATCCCTACATTGGGCCACAAAGTCTAGAAATATGACCTACATTGGGCTATTTGGAGCCTTAGGGTTCTGAGGCTAGGAAAAAATTGTTTGGGCAGTCGGACCCTCAAGGTAATGGCAATCGTAGCTTCAAGGGTTTGGCTGTAATGAAGGGCTCGGCATGGATGTCCCGGGAAGCATTCGGGCGTTCCAGCATGAGAATGACACTCTGGTGCGTTAGTGAGGTGCCTGACTGCGGGGGATGTTTGGACATGAGCAATTCGGACTGTAGCACTTTCATGTCTGAGCTATAGTCTAAACTCCTAGTATCCCACTTGAAAACCCCTATAATACTCTCCTATGTAGTCCTCCTATAAGGAGTTTAGACTGTAGCTCATGTGTACTCTACTAGCAGGCAAGGCGTATACATCCAAGACTGCTATTTCGGCCAGTCCTACACTGTCAAGTGCAACATCGCTTCGGCTCAACCTTCAGTGCTGAACCCCGTGGCCCTAAACCCTACACCCTAAACCCTTTACATTCTGGAGTCCTTTATTTCTAGGCTGGGAGTAGCAGGCCGACATGTGTATCAGCATCTATATCACAAAGTTTTCGCCCAGTGGCCAGTAGTAGATGGCTGCGCTGCCATCCACACAACGTGCCAGGGGGTCCACGCTCTCCAGGGACCTTAGTTGAAGCAACTGCAGCACATAATTCTGAAGTCCTCAACCCCCACCCCCCCCACACATCCCTGAAAGATGAAGCTGAAAGCTCGAAAATAAGATTCCGAAATACAGTAGAGGTAGCCCAGTTGCTGCCTCTGGAGCACAACGCTCAGGCCGAGCCCCCATGTCGATGCCAGGGCAGCAGCACGCACGGACATGATTTGAAAATGCTAGTGTTGGGTAGGTTTGCGGTTTATTGTGGCATGAAGTTGGGCAGTCACTACCGTTCAAGCTTTCCAGTCCAATACAGATCAGTAGTGTGTCTTGTTGGCTGAACCAAGTAAACTCTTGTTCTGCTTCAAAAATACTATACCCACGTGGCTAATTGCAGCAAACGTCTTACCACTTGTCCCCTTATGCAGGTCGCGTCGAGCAGGCCGACCGTTTCTGGGCTTCATTCCAGAAGTCCCTCAAGGTCACGGACTTGGCGATTAATACTTTAAGGCTACGCTTATGTTAA